AGACTAATAAACTCCAAATAATTTGAATTTCTTTTATTACTTTGTGCATAAAAGCGCACAATAAATTACAGCTTCACAGTTGAACTCATTCTGCTGATGTCTTCAACTATATCCATGAGTATTTTACTCACCAGAAACATTTCAGGACTTAAAATACTATTTACTTTGTTGCTCATTTAGCTTGTGGGTTTTTGTTGTTTTGTTGTTGTTTGTTGTTTTGGGGGTTGTTTTTTTTTTTAACAACTCCTATATAGCAAGGGCACAGAGTTTCTAGTAAATCTACAGGTTTAACTACATACTGATGTGTACAATCACATTTCTAAAGTACAGCAGCAGAGCTTGATGGTGAGGAAATGTCTCAATTTACATAATTAAATCCAAAGCATTTAAGGACACGCTTAAGCTAAGCACGTGCTTAAATGCTTTTTAAATAAGAATTAAGGTCTTTTAGTCCTTCTGCTTTGAAGTCCATCTTCTGATGCTTGTTGGTGACATCTACCACATACAAGACTTTAGACCTTGCCTTTACTTCCAGGCTCACTTAAGATGGAATTTGCAAATGATACATTAGGGAGAGACAAGATGCAGAGTTTTGTTTTACAGAGGGAGCACGAGCTGCCTTTAGATCTCATACCTTGTCAGGGAGCAGTGACAGAGGGGCAGTGAGGCAGCAATTAAGGGGCCAAGAGCGACCACACAGGGACAGGGGCAGTGACCTGAACAACAAGGGCACAGTCCCACAGCACCCAGGGAACAGGGCTGGAATGGTGACAGGTGCTGTGAGAGCCCAGGGACCATTAGGGAAATGAGGGGTGACAAGCTGGGTCCAAGGTCAGTCTGGGAAGCCCAGTCAACAAGTCGGGAACAGTGAAGGACAGAGCTGGGAACAGAGGCACTGCCCAGCCTGGGGGAGGACTGGGGCTGCAGGACCACTGGTGCACTCAGGGCCTGGCATTTCTTCATGGATTAACATTAGATTTCACCATTTTTATATTTAAAGAAGCCACTGACAGAAAAATAAATCTCGTGCTAGGTACAAGAGCAAGCCTCAGGCTCTTGTGCAAACATTTTAGTTGCAGGAATTTACTGCTTTCAGGGAGCCATTTCTATTGACATACGAGATACATATGTTTACAGTGGATCTTAGTAAGATCCTAAATTATTCAGAGAAAGGATGAGGAGGGATGGTTAATAAATAGAAAAGAGCAATGGCTTAGTGTTCAATCAATAATACTAAATTCTTATTTGCAGATACTTTTCCGTGAAGCTGAAGAAACTGAGAGAGAATGAAGGAACTGTGCCTAGGCCAGTTCAGATCAAGGTCAGAGAACCAGATCTTTTGGATTTGTATTGGATCACAATCTGAACACGAATGATCAATATTGTGCTGGTGCAGAGAAATATCAGTTGTACCAGGATGTTCAGTTTTCTAACAACTATGTTCCTTTTACCTAATGAGTGGAAAATTACAGCATGACAAGAAATCAGCAGGTCACCTCACCATTGCCATGACTCAAAGTAGGAACAAATAGATCAACAAAGTGCTCCAGGTTACACCTGCCTCTGGAATCATAATTGTGATGTTAATTAGCTTCCTCATACAGTCAACAACAGAGCCTCAGAAAAAACTTATGCTGGCATAACACAGTGTGAGAGAAAATGAGAAGCAAGGGGAAGAGGAACAGCAGGGATGATTTATACCAGGTGGCTTAGACCAGTATAATGTGCTGAACTATGATGCAATTTGATCTTACTGAATGTCTTCTGTATTGTTGATTTAAAAGCATGTTTCTGAATGGTCAAAAATGTTTCAAAATGGAATTCTGTGTCCCCCACCCCCAGCTTTGCATCACCTGCAAAATTAATAAGTGTGTTCTCTGTTCCATTATTTATATTGTCAACAACAAAAAGACCCAGGCTGAAGACAGGCTCTAGAAAACCAGCAATATATTCTTTCCTTTTGACAGAGAACTACTGCATGTTATGAAATACTGCTTGCTATGCAGTCAATTTTGTACATACCTTATAATAGGTTTATCCAGGTCGTATTTCTCTAACTTTTTAATGAAAATGTCATGTAAGTGTCATAAACATAATCAAACTGACAACAGGCTCTGTCCTATCCACAAGGCCTGTTCCCTACTGGAGGAGAACATGAAGTTATCTAGTGTGATTTATTTTTGACAGATCCATGTTGGCTGCTATTGTTCCTTGGTTATCATCTAGGTGCTAATAATAGTTTGTGAGGTTATTTGTCCCAGGATTTTTCCATGGATTCAGTTAATTACACTTAAATCAAGCTGTATTTCTCTGGCTCCAACCCCACTTTGATAACAGCAATTTACAGTTACCTCTTCTGGTTTTTTCAGCTTCTCATTCACCTCCTTAATTCAGTCATTCTTCAGCTGTCTTTTGATTATGGTCACTAGACTCAAACTATTTGAAAACATTCAGTTCATCTGAGTGCTCCTTATCTGTTCTTTACCTACTCTGGGCTGAGACAATTTTGTTCTCAGTGTCACCAATCCTAACTATCTGCTTGCACATGATCTTTTTTGTAAGTATGACACAACAGGTGCAACAATCCCTTTAGCTTTCTTTGTAATTTGTTAACAGATTTTCTTCTCTATTGAGTAAAGGAATAATAATTTCTCTATCTCTTTCGTAGTACAAATATACTTAAGGATAGCTCTTGATAGTTCAATGGTTTTGCAGCACTACCTTTTTTAGTCTTTCTTATTCTTAATAATTTGACCCGTCTTCCTTTGTGTTTTCTTCATGTGCCTAAAGGTCAACAGAGACCTCATGATGTGGTCAAGCTAACCTTACTGTTATTTCTATCTTACTCACAACTGGGATAAATGTGCCTTTCAAATTGTTTTCTAAAGCATCATTCCTTTTCTTAACTCATTTCTTTAGACTTCCTTCCTATGTGGTCTTAAGTACTGATTGCTTAAGTCCTTAACTTTCATGACATCTGGTTTTATTTAGCTGTTCTCTTTCCTTCCTCTTCTATGGACAACAAGCTGTCATTTTACAAATGCTCTTTTTTGTGAGGAAAATGCTGCCCCACTTTAGCATTCTCATCCAGTTATTCTTCACTGGCAGTCTCCAAAAAACCCCCACAACAAACCCAAACCACCCAACCAAGCCATTATATTCTTGTGGCTAGGCCCTATTCTAAAGAAGTCACATCAGAGATACCAACACCTGACAATGTATTGCTGCTCTAATGAAAGGGATTTTTCACTTCTCCAAAGGAAAGCTCAGGAAAGAAGTCTGAGAAACAGACCACAGACACTGCCAAAGGTGAGAGACTGAATGAAATGCAGAAGCAAGATATAAAACTGCCTGGGATTGCTTCTAGCAGCAGAATGTCTTGTACGTGAACGAGGGAGTAGAAGGGGACAGATCTGTTCCAGGTTGCACATGGCAGCAAATGATCAAATTGGCAGACCCCTGAGAGAAAATACTCTGTGCTTATCTTTGTGAGCAGTAATCCTGTGTTTTAGAAATAGAGGAAGAAAAGAACTGCCAAATATTGGTGCTAGTGCTTGTTTTGAGTATTCAGGCCTCACAGGCAGGTGTGTGTATATGGCACATGTGGGTGTGTCCAGTGAACGGGGGAGATATTTGCAGGAGGTTTGTGCTGCAGGTTTAGGTGTTTTGATGAATCATCAGTGACTGAGAAAACAGCATTTTGTAGAATTCTTATCAAGCTCTAATTGTGGATAGGAGCCCCTGAAGACCTTGAAAAAGCCTGATGGGCCACCTTATTTCCCAAAAAGAGACTAATTTCTCCCACAGCAGAATGGCATTCACATACTGCCTCCAGCTTTACAGGTGGTGCTGCCCCTCTGTCTACATGGAAATCCCTTTGAGTCAGTCAGTATTGATACTTGATCGTGTTTTTTTCAAACTTATTTGTGGAATTAAGCAGGCTCAACAGATTGACCTGAAACAGAGCTGTCCTAGTGCTGTCCTGCGGAGAAGGGCAGCCCTGTTGTAATGGTCAGGATGGAAAGATGTGCTGCACTCAGGTTATGTGAAATAAAATCTGAAGGACAAGACAGCTCTCAGGGGATGTCCATGGCTCCAATTGCCTCAACAACATCCCCTTAACCCACTGCTCCAGCTAGATCTCCACGGACCTTTGCCTTTTGCCTTTCAGATACATGTTTACAGTACAACTGCTTCACAAACCCACAAACTAGGAACCAAATTTGGCTTCTGCTGCACAGGTCTGGCACACGTGGCAGTAAATCGTGTACAGCACCGGGCACACCTGGCTGCAGGTACCCGAGTATGGCACCGGGCACACCTGGCTGCAGGTACCCAAGTATGGCACCGGGCACACCTGGCTGCAGGTACCCAAGTATGGCACCGGGCACACCTGGCTGCAGGTACCCAGGTATGGCACCGGGCACACCTGGCTGCAGGTACCCGAGTATGGCACCGGGCACACCTGGCTGCACGTACCTGCTGGCGTCCAGACCGGGACTGGGCTGGAGCCCCACTCGGGTTTGGAGCTGGAGCGCCGCTCGGATTTGTCCTTTCTTGCCCGGGCCACTGCCATTCCTTGGCCGACCTACACCAGCTGCAATGGCACTTGAAAAACTCGTTTATCGAGTTAAGGCCGCTGCCGAGCGGGTCGGCGAACGGGACCCCGGTGACGGGCGTGCAGAGCTGTGCCCGGTCCTTCCCTTCTTCCCGAGGGGGCGAACCGCGGGCAGCTGCGTGGGGCCGACTGCGATAAGGGCGAGGAGGAGGAGGAAGGTGAGCAGCCAGACGAGAGCAGAGGCAACAGGCAGGAGGGAGCCGAGGACGGGGATCGCGCAGCCCGCCGAAGGAGCAGGAGGGAGGCGGTGGGGAGCGGCGGGAGGCGGGCGCAGCCGGGGCGGAGGGAGGAGCGGGCGGCCGGGCGCAGCCAATTCGGGGGGACACGTCCATTTTTCGGCGTGAGTCAGGCACGTCGGTGGGGTGATGCTGCGGCGCCGGGCAGGGGCCGGGCCAGCCGCGGGGAGCGGCCCGCCCGCTCGGGCCCGGAGTCTCGGCCGTGCCGGCGCTGCCGCCGAGCGGAGCGTTGCTTCCTCCTTCCCGTCCCTTCCCTTCGCCGGGGCCGGCGCCATGGCCGGGGGCGCTGGGCCTGCCGCTCTCTGACACCCGCCCGCCCGCGGAGGTACCGCGGCCGCGCCGGGGGATGCGGGGATGGGGGACCAGGACTGGGACCGGGCGGAGGGAGGGAGGGGGCAGGTCACGGCGCTGACCGCGGGTAAGGGCAGCCCTGCACGGTGGGGAAGGGGAGAGCGGCGGGGGTGGGCGGTAGAGCCGGGTGGGAAGAGAAGGGGTCCCGGGGCGGGGGGTCTGGAGCTCCGAGGCTCCGGAGCTCACAGGCTCCGTGCAGCTGCGGCCTCTCCCTCCCCGCAGGCTGCTGCCAGCGGGGCTCCTCCGGGCATCGGAAGGGAGAGTGGAGAATTGCCCTTGCCCCGGGCGGAGCTGCTCCGTTCTCCTGGAGCTCTGGAAGGAAGGACTGCAAAGGGAACCTCTGGACGTTTCATGTTTCGTCAGCCCGGCAGAATTTTGGCTTTGATTCCGTCTTGCTCTTACCTGTTCCTGGAGAAGAGGCACCGTCCCGCCATGTCTCGCTACAGCCTCCACAACCTCCTGGACTGGATGTATGGGGGGGTGGACCCCAGCTTTGCCGGCAATGGAGGGCCGGAATGCGCTGCCTTTCTCTCGGGGAAGCAGCGCTTGCTGGAGAGTTTGGTCTTCCTCAGCGTAGGCATCGTGGAGATCCTCCTGTCCTTGGGGAAGCTCAGGCATCTGCACCTCAGGGAGCTGGAGAATCTGCTGCAGCAGCCCCAGGCTAAGCAGGAGAGCTTGGGCAAGAACGTGCTGCTGGTGCTGCTCTGCCTCATCTTTGGGCTGGAGGTGGGGTTCAAGTTTGCCACCAGGACTGTCATTTACCTCCTGAATCCCTGCCATGTGGTCACCATGATGCAGGTAAGGCTTGTGTAGGGTCACCTGGAAGTTGGCTTTTGTGATGTACTTGCAAGGCAGTATTTTTCCTGTAGTCTGTTTGTGGACCAAAAGTGCATAGCAAAAGTACAAATGCTAAGAATTGATATAAACATTTTAAACAGTTTTAAGTCAGTTTAAGTGAAATCTCTCAAGTAACCTGAGTCACACGAAAAAGTGAAATTGTAGCTATGATTAATGTCCGAATCTCTGGTTGAAAATGTAGATAATTAAGGTTTTCTCACCACTTGCTTTCACCTGATCCTTGTTTCAAGACTAGAAGAGGCTGTTTCCACTGACAGTAGTGCTCAAATTTGCACCAAACCTAATGAGAACAGGATTATTGCGAAAGCAGCTGTGTAATCTCTGTGCAACTTTTTCAAGCAAGTGACTTCTTTGGGTGTGAACGTATTTTGTGAAGGTGTTGGAGAAATAAATTATTCTTTGTTGGTTTACCTTTCTAATCTTAGAAGCTAAGTGGTAAGGAAGCAGGTGTTACCTGTGTCTCATACATGGGGTTGAACAAGGTGATATGGCCTAATACCTGTGGACAAACCACGTGTTTTAATGACTTGTGGCGTGGTTGTTGATGTGTAGAAATGTGCAGCTTGTGTAGATTTGAAAATAATGGATACATAGAAGGATACATGGATAAACAGTTACTGAACTGGGATATCTAAAGCCTAGAAGCTTGTTTGTTAATACTCCTGTAGATACTTAACTGTCAGTCCCACTGAGCTTGATAAGGAGGGTGGGAGACATAAAATTATTACTTTGTTTAATTTTGCTAATGTTGAATCCTCAGCTTAGAAGATTAGAAACAACTTAGAAAATTCAAGCTCAAGAAATAACAGAAGAGTGTCAAAAAGGCTTTCATAAAAGTTGGTATGGTAACAACTGTCTAGGATCAGTAAAATTGGATCAGTGCCATTCTTGGTCTCCCACTGCAGGATGCAAAGTGATCTGGGCTGAATCAGATCAAGCCAGTTGTTAGATTCACACCTGGAGAGCATTTCCTAACAGGACGGGAAACATCTTTTCTGGTTGTACCAGAGGTTTGAAGGAGATGGGTATTATTTCAAGAGTGGTACAGCAATATTCAAGACCTTTACAGCAATTAATTTACAGTTCCAGAACTTAATTGGTAGGTTATGTAAATTCCTAGGCTGTGATGCAATGTTTGCTCAGTAGTTTACAGCATAGGACACTTCATTCCTGTGAAGGGGTAGTGATTGCTGTGCAATCAGTTAGTCAGTATTGGGACTGAACTTATGGAATGACTATATAGAAATAATTAAAATGAAATCATACAGCTACATTCCATTTCTAGTCAATACTCAATGATAACTGGGAAATCTTCCTAGTAATTCTCCAGAAAGGAGATGAGGATATGTTAGCAGTAGGATTTGAAAGTTTAGTTGTCTTTATGATAGGATGTTATGACATTCAGCAAAATGCTTACACAGCCCTGGGGGAGCAAGGACTGTTCACTTCTTTCAATAATGCCTTCCCCAAGGAGATAGAGACTTGAGCCCTGTAGTCAGGCATGGGCTGTTCTGAATCTCTTTTTGACCAATTGTGAAGCTTTTAAAAATAATCCTGCGCTAATTAGTCATTAGAAATGGTGTTCCAGCATTTGTGAAATTGAGAAGGTGGGTATGTCAGCAAAATGCAGAAGTTGGGCCCTTCATTTAGAAACAGGCTTGGGCTTAACGTAGAGGATGAAAATAATGGTGAAACCAGCAGCTTTCCACAGAGACATCAGGTTAGACACAGGGATAGTCAATGTTCCATCAGCAGACAAGTAATAGATAGGTGTAATCTTGTAAGCATTGTTTTTTGGCCTAAATATCTGGAGGGCAACAGGTTGGCAAGGTGAAATATATGAAAATATAATTTATCTTTCACTTCTGTTCTTGCAGTAGTTTATACATAACCCTTCTGCCATGTCTAAATAATAGGATGAACAAAGTAGGAGGTGAAGAGATGAAAGGTACTATAACAATCAGGATCACTTCAAAGGGAAGCCAACAGTAGCTGTTGTTAAAGGGCTCTTCTTTCACTCCATTTCTCTTTTCATTTTCTTCAGCTGAGACTTGTTTCACCTCAGCAACAAAGGCTCTGGGCTCTGAGCCAAAAATATTCAGAACTAGAAGTTATCCTTCAGATTTTCTCTGCATAAAAGCAAAAGTTCTGCTCTTAAAAGACCTAAGACAGAAATGAGATAAAAATAAAATGGGATTTAGATGTGTGGTGCATTTAGGAAGACAAAACTGAGTAACATTAGGGCTACTGGATTCTACAAATGTGTCTGTTTTGATCAGGTGTCTAATTTCTGCCTATCACGCCAACTTCTGTTCAAATCAAGTCTTTTCATAAGTGGAAAGAACTAGCTTAGATGTGTCATTGTAAGGAGGAAGTGTCAATGAAGTGAACATATTTAACTGCCTGAACAGTTGTCATGGTTAATCAGCTTCAGAGAATTTGTTGCTGCCCTGTCACCTGGCTGAATTATCCACAAACAGTGATAATCATTTCCAGCCCTGCTCTGGGTTTTGGCTTCTTGCATAGCTTCTGGAGGAAGAAGGGTGTTTCTTCACCAGTATCATAAGTGCAGCATCATCGAGAGATAAATATTTTAACTTTTAAAAATACTATATATATTTTATAAAAAAGGTAAATGGAATCTTATTTGGTTTCTCTACCAGCTGTTGGATGGGGATGGGCTTGGTTTGTGCAGTACAATGCTTAGCTAATGTTTGATGCAGCAAGGGGAGATGTCTATGAAGGAATTCATTCTGAACTCCTTCTTTATGTAAAGAATGGTCTTTGTGAAAATTATTTGAATACATCTGTTTAAAAAAAAAACAAACACACAAACCACTTGCCTTTTAGGACTGGAGATATAACTGGAGCAAGTGGTGCTGCTGTAAACCTGGCATAAAAGGGTATCCTAAGAGGGAAACATTAAATCCTTGGGGTGTTGCAAACCTATTGGCCATTGCATAGCAGGAAAAAAACCAGCATATGTTTAAGGAACCAGGTTTATGTTTTGAAGACACTAATCCTTTCCAGTATTTTAGGGCACAGAATTGTGGTACTGAAATCGTCTGTGTGAAGGAGGTCTTAAATTTCTGATTCAGCAGTGAAAGAGGGAGGATTCCCTCAATAGCCAATTACAACACTATTGATTTCTTTGCAAGTTTTGTGAAGGAGACTTTTGGCAGCAGCCAGAATGTGCTTGTTGAGAAGTGTCTGCATAAGTGTTGTCTCCCTGTGTATGGGCATCAGAACAGCTACAGAATTGCTTTAGTGAGGTGAGAGGATTTCATACCTTGCAGTGTCAAAACCAATGATATCAAACCAATTTTCTTTATCTGTTCTGTATTCTTTAAGCTATATATTTTTCTAACTTTTCAATCACAACCTTTGTGTTCACGTAGCAGTTCTTCATTTCACATTTAGGGAAGGAGCAGTTTGAATTTTAGGTTTGTGAAGCTGCCAGTTTTAATTAGGTTTCCTAGACTTTTGCTAAGATCTTCAGTTCTGAACACTGAAGTCTGTAGAAATCAGAAGTGTGTGTGCAAATTTATTGGAACCTTGTTTAAGGAAGTGCCAGAAACAGGTACCCTGTACTCTAATCCTAAAATGATAGGTACAGCTAGTCCTTCTCTTAAACTGTTGTAAATTTTCAACTTGACCTTGGTATGCCTATGCCTTCTTCCAGAATGGTGCCTTTATGCCAATCTGTAAAATAAATTTTATTTATTTTGTTTTAGGAAGGGTTTTGCAAGAGTCATTTTTCAGTGGTAAATCCTCAGCAGGTCAGTTGTTGTAATTCTCTTCCAATTCTGCTCTGAATTACTGCAATTCAGGCGGTTAAGGACTAACATTTGTGTGGAATAGAGAAAATGTGTTTGTAGGAAACACCTGTTTTGCTGGATTATAACTTCAAGTGATCTTTTTAGGCAAAGTAAACGAAGGGGGAAGTGATAGGTGGAAAGAAGTATAGGGGAGTCTGGTTTCATTCAGGGATCTTGATCTGATGTTTGCATAACTAAAATCAGTACTAAATGCATCTGCAGTTAAGTAAATACTAAATCCTTTGTTCACTGTTTCCAGTTCTGGCTTCTTTAGAGACCTGGATCATTTCTGTCCTCTGCAAAAGAGATTACTGTGTTTTTGGAAACAATGGGCTGTTTTCAGAATGTATATAATAAACATAGCTTGACTGAATTCTGCACCACTTGGGTATATATTCCAAAATATAACTAATTAATGACTTTTCCTTTTTTTTTCTTTTAATTTGTGTACACAGTTCTTAAATGCTTTGTAATATTTGGAAGAATTCAGTTAAATTGTATACAGTTTTCTATATTCTGTCTCTTCAAAACCTTGAATTAAAAGTAAAGGGTTATTCACATCCTGTTATTTTGGTGTGACTATGAGGAAGCTTTGATTACAAAAATTTAGTAAATTTTTATAGAAATGATGCTGAATAATGCTATTGAGGTACATGAACAATGGCCTGCAAGTAAGAGCTTAATGAATTACTCAGTTTTTAAAAGATAGTGGTATTCTAAGTTGAAGATGTTTTTCAATAGCTCTGGTTTTAGCTTGTATTTAGGTTATTGGGTAAGATGTAGAGCAGCAAAGGCAAAATTTCCTATTAACATGTATGCATTTTTCAAAGTGTAAGTCTCTAAATGTAGGCTTCTATATCTCCTTTCTGTACTTGTGCATATCTCCCTAATCCATGTGCTTTTGTGTGCAACTCCTATATTCCAAAGCCTGGTACCTGTAATTTTTATAGCACCTCAGAAGACAGGGCTTGGTTTCAGGAGATATGATAAAACTGAAATTTAGTACAATTTGATAAGGATTGTAAAAAATTATTTGAGAACAGCAAGGCAAAATATTTGAGTTCAGTCTGATTTACTCCCAGATCAGTCTATTTAGGAATGTGAGATGTTTTAGGAAGGTCA